CTTCCACATCACAGTTCACCAGAGAACATGAACAGAAGCCTGATGGATGCTGGAGAACATCCTCTGGTCAGATGGAGATCAATGTGTTGGGCTCACATGGAGTCCAGATGTTTGGTGTGAACCTGACCAGGACCACCACAGTGGATCATGGTCCTGCCAGTGAAGCACGGAGGTGGCAGCATCATGATGTGGGGCTGCATGAGGGCAGAAGGTGTTGATGATGTTTCTAGAAGCTCCATGAATGTCTGAGGATGAACCAGGATACTGGCTGACCAGATGAAGAAGAGGAACATTCCAGCAGGAGAACATCCAGAGAACAACATCATCAGGAGCTTCTACAGCAGAACCAAGTGGAACCAGGAAGTTCCTCAGAAATGATGTCAACTTGACCTTAATTAGAATCTCAGTAATGAAACTGACGAGAGAAGATCTAAATATGACCTGGACCGGAGTCTGTTCTGTGTCTGGTTCTGGACCTCTGCCCGGTCTGGACCTGGTCCACTGATGCGTCCTCAGAGGTTCCAGAACCGGCAGCAGCTTCACCGTCTTTAATCTGACATTTAACTCTGTTTGACGTTCTGATGGACTTAATTGTCTAAACTGACATTCAGAGAAAGTTCTGATCCGATGTTATCCGAGGTAAAGTTCTGATCCGACCCTGGTGTTATGTGAGGTAAAGTTCTGGTCTCTGCTGCAGGAAGTTCTGTTTAATGTGAACTTTTATTGTTGTTTGTTTTGAGCCGGGCCTGGTAGGATGAATCCATGGTTCTGATGGTTCTGATGGTTTCTGTGGTTTCGTTCCGTTTACCGACTCTGTGAACCAACAGAAGCTGTCCGGCTGCTGCGGAGCGTCTTGGGGTTATTATGGGATGTGAAGCGTTAACACGAAGCAGCTTTTCATTCCTGAGTTAAACAGAACAAAATGTTTTGGCAGCGGCGCTGCTCGGTCCGACTCGATCTGCAGCGAGACGATGAGACTTTAATCCTGTTCAAACCTGAGAGAGACGAAAAGCTTCAGATGAAACTGAACCTAAACGTTGAATCCACGTTTATCCAACGTTTTTCTAATGTTTCTGCTCGAACACGTCTCAGTGTGTTTTTTAAATGTTGTAAAAACATTTAGTTAATTTATTAATATTTTATTTTACGTTTCATGAATATTTTTCAGACACTTTGAGATTTAATTATTCATTTGTTTTGCTAATTTTGTTGTTTTGTTCATTTTGTGTGATTTCATATTTTTCTATATATTTTTATTTATTCTATTTATTGTCACATTTTTATTAATATCATTTTAGTTTTTATTCTTTCTTTTGAAATATTTCAGACATTTTCTTCATTTTCTTCATTTTTTTAGGACAATATTTTGTCAATATATTGTTCTTTCTTTTTTCTTACTTTTATTTATTTTATATTTTCCAGACGTCATATTTTTTGTCTTTTTCACGTTACTGTTTGTTCTGTTGTTGCTGATTTAAATATTTAGTTGTTCTTCACATTTTATGGATATTTGTAGACATTGAATTTATTTTTCAAGAATTTTATTTTTAAAAATAATTTTTGTTTATATTTTTGGAACATTTTTTGTATCATCTGGACAGTTTTTTGTTTTTAACATTCTTCCTGTGACTCGTCCCTTCAGTGGATCTGAAACTCACCTTTATGTTCATTTAGCATCAACAGCTTCACTCATTGGACAGAAAGAGGATTTTTCTTTCTGTCTGTCTCCAGTTATTCTAATATTTCTGCTGTTTTCGTGGTTTTTCGTTGCTGTTTTTAGGATTTTATTTTGTTTTGCAGATTGATTTCTCTCCATGTTTTACTGGTTCTGTCTGTTTTCCATCCTGCTCGGTTCTGGTTGTTTTAAGCTCCACTCAGCTCGTGTTCTCGGTGGGTTCTGGTTCTGCAGGACGTGGTTGTTTCTGGAAGGGATCTGCTGGATTAATCGGATCAGTTCGGCTCTTTGATCACCGCCGGGGATTATCCGGGTCGCTGTTCTGCTCTGATGGACTCGAGCCGACAAACGGCTCCGGAGCTTCATTACGTGGATCTGCTGCTTTAAACAAACTGAGCAGCGTCAGCAGGAACATCTCGCTCTGCTGCAGCTCAGACATCCACATCTGCTCCATTTATCACTTCATTCATTTTCTAGATGTTCAGGAAGTTGAGCAACATCAAGATTTTCCACATACGGAGGAAAAAAACAGTTTTATTGTTGGATAAAAATTAAGTTCTTCTTTTGTTTCTATGTCATTTAAATAATTTTATAAACATACCTCAAATTTAATTTAGTTTTAAATCAACTGAGTCTAAATTAAACACAAGAGTTTTATTCAATGTTTGTGACTTTTACGATATCTGTAGTGCTTTTATTTTGAAAAGTCCTTTATGAAGGGTTGAATAATATTAGACTGAAATAAGCAGAGAAATTCGTCTGCACAACAGGAAGCTAATTAATAATTAATAATACTGACATTAAAAAACAAAGATCAGTCAGAACAACGAGTCAAACTGAACTCTACAAAATAAAGTTTTATTACAACAACCTCTCATGAAGTTATGTTCAACCGAGTCACAGTCGTTAGTTTCTCTCTGCAGATATTTCAAATAAATACTGAAGCTGTCAGAGTTTAAACTGTTTAATTAACTCAGTTAATGAGATTTGTTTTGCATTAAATGACTCTGAGTTCAGCCAAAGTTTAATTTCCTCCATCTTCAGTTTTCTCTTTATTATCATGAAAGATTTTAGTTTGAAATTCAAAATATAACATGATATGAACACGTTTAAAGACTTTAAACCTCCACACGTGTTTGTGTTTAATTCGTTAATATAAACTCACATTGTGTTTAGAGGACGTGGTCCAATCTGCCGGTTCTGGTTTGGTTCCACTCTGCACGCGCTCCAGGTTCTTATATCTGGTCCTTACTTTTCTTCTCATCAGGATGAACTCATCTGAAGTTAATCTGCTTTTTCCTGCTGCTTGAATCTAAAGGTTCAAATATTAAAGATGCAGTTTTTTCTTCTGCGTAGATTTTTTATTTTATTTTATTTGACTTTTGCTGCTTTCAGATCAGATTCGTTCTCAGTTGATCCATCAGACGGTGAAACCAGAGAGTCTTCATCGGGACGGTTTCTGTTTGCTGCAGTTTGTTTCTCATGTTTGGAGAGAAAAGGCTCTTTGGCTTCATTTTAATGGACTTTTTGCTGGTTCTGATCCCCACAAACAAGATCTAAAGTGTCTAAAAGAAAATACATTCAGATTTAGTTTCTATTTGCTTCCAAGGTTTAAATACTGAACCTTCAGCTTTTCCCTTTATTTATCTGTTTCCTGTTTCTGAGTCTAAACGTTGAAGCGCTGCAGGTCTTTCCTTTTGTCCTGACCCGTCCTGTCCGGTCCATGTGCGGCTCGGCAGCAGTGTGTTCGACGTGGCAGTGGCCCGGCCTCAAACAGAGCCGCCTGTTGAGGGATGAAAGGCGGCGGCGTTTTTTTGGTGTCGCCGTGTCCTCGCGGCCGATCTCAGAGCAGCGCCGCGGCGTTTACACTGAGCTCAGGTACGAACAAGAAAATCCCTGTTAAGTTTTCTTGTCGCACTTTGTTGCGAGCTGCGACGCCGGCGTGCAGAATGTGACGCCGCCGCGTCGAAACCCGCTGCAGCAGCACCAGAGGACGGAGCAGCAGCAGCAGCAGCAGCAGCAGCAGAAGAAGAAGAAGGAGGAGGGCGAGTGTTTGTGGCGGCGGCGGCTCTGAAGTGGAGGCCAGACGTGGAGGCTCCCACCGGGCCGCTCGAGTTTATCCGACCTCTGACCTCCGGGAGACGGAAGGACGACGGCTGGACCGGACGCACAAAGAAGGAGGAGAAGAAGAAAGACGGGATGAAAGGAGAAGACCAGGCTTTGATTCCGAGGAGGGAACAGAAGAAGAAGACAATGACACAATGCTGGACAGTGGAAGCTGCTCACTGGTCCAGATTGTCACTGGGCTAAAACCAGTTTAACACCAGCCTTAAACCAACCAAAAAAAAAACAGTGTAAAACATTCTAAAACTAGTCTAAACCTAATCCAAAACTAGTCCAAAGCCAGCCCTAAACCAGTCCAAGACCAGTCTACCACAAATTCAAAACAAGTCCAAAATCAGCCTTAAACTGACCTAAAACCAGTGTCAAACCATTCTAAAACTAGTCTACAACCAGCCCAAAACCAGCGTAAAACCCACATGAACCAGTGTAGAACTAGTCCAAATCCAGCCTTAAACCAGTCCAAGACCAGTCTAAAACTGGCCAAAGACCAGTCCTAAACCAGCCTCAAACCAGTGTAAAACCATTTCAAAACGAGTCTAGAACTAGTCCAAACCTAGTCCAAAGCCAGCCTTAAACCTGTCTTGAAACCAGCTTTAAACTAGTCTAAAACCAGTCCATAACCAGGTAAACCAGTCCATAACCAGGTAAACTAGTCTACATCCAGGTAAACCAGTCCATAACCAGGTAAACTAGTCTACATCAGGTCCAACAACTGTCCTGAAACCAAGAAGAGATGACCAGAGAAGAAGCAGCTTTGATTTAAGAGATAGCAGAAGAAGAAGACAGTGAAGGCTTCTGATTGGTCCAAAGGGACCTGACAGAAACAAGGAGAGGAGTCCGACCAATTAGAAGCTAGTTAGTTTAACTGAGCTAGTTGTATTTAACTGGTGCTGTATGTTAATGGAGGGTAACGTGTGATCTCAGAGATGTTTGTTGTTTTATAATCAGAAGCTTCAACGTGTTTTTATTGTTCATCAGAAGTTTGTTTCCAGGTTTCCACCGAAGGAATCTGAAGTCAGACTAAAGTCTCCTCTGAAGCTCTTGTTCTGTTTGATTTAGTCCATTGATGTAGAAACCTGCTTTTGTCTCCATGGAAACATGTAGCGTTCAGGATCAGTTAAACCTGATCACATAAACCGGGATCCTGCACAGCTTAAACCCAAACACAGAGTTGTGATGTTCTCCTCCGTTTCTGTTCCAGGACTGTGGTCTGCAGGTCCAACCGGGTCGGTTCTGTGGTCTTCAGCCTCACATCAGCTCTCAGAGTCCAGATCAGACCTGCAGCTCCGGAGACGTCCCAGGTGAGACCTCCTAGGGGGACTGTCGCTTTAAGACCAGCTCTCTGATCACCTGTCTGCCTGTCTTACCTGTTTGTCTCTTACCTGTCTCAGGTCGGTGGGTGGTACCGTGTCTCAGCTGTTCTGACAACAGGACGTGTGATTGGAGGGAGGTTGCCTGGCAACCTGACGACTGTTACCACCCGCTGGTGGACCGCCCCCTGCTGCAGGACTGCATGACGGACAGGAAGGTGAGGTCAGCTGACGGTGGGTTGTGACCTTCTCTCTGATTGGTTGTCATGATGTCAGTGGTTCACCTGTTGGTCCATCCGTCTGCAGGTGATGTTCATCGGAGACTCGACCAATCGGGGGATGATGTACTTCCTGATGGAGCGGGTGAACTCCAGCCTGGAGGACTGGGGCAAAGCTCACGACACGCTGGTGTACCGGAACCTGAACGGGGGGCGGAGCCTGGTCAGCTACTCGTACTATCCTCAGTTCTGGTTGGAGAAGAAGCAGAGACCCACCTTCAGACGAGCTCTGATGCAGCTGCTCAACAGGTGAGTCGTGTTACCTGTCAGACTCCATCTTTAAGGCGGGGCTTCGTCAGTGCTGAGGACTTTCTTCTATGACCTCTGTGAAGGTCGCAGCCTCTGGAGAACTCTAACCGGACGGTTCTGGTGGTGGGAGGAGTCCAGTGGCTCAACACGGATCACCTGAGGACGGTCCAGGAGGTTCTGGACAGGTGAGTTCTCATATAAACACAGGTGTCATCAGCATACAGGTTCACATCCCCCACAGGCTGGTTCTTCATAAAGCTCTCTGGTTCCTAAGCGCACCGTCACATATAGAAGAACCCGGTTTTTTAAGGGACGGTTCTTCACATACGTTATGTGGTTCTTTAAAGTACTGAAGGTTCTTCGTTTTTATCGGAGTTCTTTGGTTTGGTGGCAGCATGAAAGTAGAGCTGCAGCTAACGAATACTTTCATTATCAATGGATCATCAGTTCTATTCAACATCAGAAAACAGTCAGAAATGTCCACCACAGGTTCCACAGTCTCACGCTGGCTTCTCGGAACATGTGGTTCTGTCTGACCGGAAGTCCAGAACCCAACAATACGGTGTTCTAATAGAAGAAACCTAGAATTGCTGCAAAGAATTACACTGAACCTTTTGCTTCAAAAATGACCTAAATGATTGTAAGTGCTGTTATCAGAACAGAGTCAGGTGGTGCCACAAAGAACTGTCTTAAAAATAGTTCTGTGCGGAACCGATATTTGTCTCAGTTCTTTGGATGGAACCATTTTTTAAGGTTCTTTGAGGCACATTTGGGGGTTCCTTAAACAACCAAGAAAGCTGTTCTTTAAGGAACTTATTTTAGTTTTTTTGGACTGACATCTACAGTGCCTGGTTTGAAATAGCTTTGAAGGTCCTTTAAGAACATTTTGCAAAAAGTTCTTTGTGGAACAATGGATGGTTCTTCTGTGGCATCACTGTGAAGAACCATTTTGGTTCCAGTCAGCACCTTTATATTTCTGCAGAGGACCGAACTCAGATAGATCCCTGCGGTTCTCCTGCTCTGGGTATCGTGTTCCTGGCCATGATTAGTTTGACTAAAAGTCTCCGGTAACAGTGGAACGTTCCGTCTCTGACTTCTGGTGTCACTGAGAACCTTGTGGTCTCTGCTGTTCCTCCTCCTCAGAGAGTCTCTCAGTAACATCCTGGTGGTGGTCAAGTCTTTGGGGATGGGGTTCCACCTTCCAGTCAACGGGATCCGATCTCTCAGCCTGGTAGGTTCCTGGTTCCTGGTTCCTGGTTCCTGCTGCATGCGGTGCAACATTTGAGCTGCTCTTCTTTTCTTTGCCGTCTTCTCTGTGGGACCTAAAAACACCCTTCTTGCTTTTTATCAACTGATTGTTCAGGCAGAGATACAGAACCTGTACCGAGAGAACGGCAACATCATCGCCGCCGCAAAGCATCATGGGTACGAGGTGATCGACACGTTCAGCATCACGATGGGTCGATACAAAGAGTTCCTGCAGGGACGATGTGCCTGCCACTTCCACGAGGTAACGGCTTCAGTCAGCACAGAACCACACGATGGGTTCCTCAGATCGTCCTCCAGGAAACATCGGACGGCGTCCAGAAGGATGTTTGTCCACGTGAAGGATTTTAGTGTTCAACAGAAAGTTTTAACGTTCTAGTGAACATGTCCAGTGTGTCGATGACAGTTAATAGTGTACAGCAGAAAGTCTTTAGTGTTCTAGTGAAAGTTTCTAGTGTCCCAGTAAAGTTTTGTCCTGTTTGTGTCCAGCAGAAGGTTTTAGTGTCAGAAGGTCTTAGAACCTGGTGGATTCTTGATCTCCGACTTGCTGTTCTCCGTTTTCTCAGGTGGAGAAGTTTTGGTCCACAAAACCTCCCAACGACGCGACGTCAACAACCAACCGGACCAGAACCGCACCTGGACTCGGCGGCCAATCAGCCGTGCCGGACACGGCCCAGGAGGCGGAGCCTAAGCCCGCGACCTATCACGTGAGAGGACCAGTGAACCAGGTGTACTCGGAGATCCTGCTGAGCCGTCTGTGTCCTAAAACCAGAGACTGAACACCTGAGAGGGTGAACAGGTGAGTCCTGCAGGTAGACTCGGCTGCCCCCTCCAGGACGTGGACTTCATGTTGGACCAGGACTTGTTCTCTGATTCGACCTAAAAGCAGCAGCAGGAGGAGGAACGAATGTAAAGCCATCAGAACGGAGCGAACCAGAGTTCACTAAAGTCCACTTAACCAGCTGGTTGTCTGGTCAGCACCTGTTAGCTCATCATGCAAACCAGTTCTCTTCAGACGTTCTGCTGGCTACTAACTAGTTCCACTGCACAACAGCTACTTCATACTGTGTTCTAACCAGAGTTTTATAAGAACTAACTAGTTTTTCAAGTACACTCGATAGTTTTAGTAGAAACAAGCTGCTTTTTTACAGCTAGTGTCTGATTGATACTAAACTTTTTTGTACACAGTAGCCAGGTTTCATCCTGACTAGCTCCTGACACATGGTAACTAGTTCCTGACATGTGGTAGCTAGTTTCTGATAAATGGTAACTAGTTCCTGACATGTGGTAACTAGTTCCTGACATATGGTAACTAGTTTCTGATAAACTGTAACTAGTTCCTGACATGTGGTAACTAGTTTCTGATAAATTGTAACTAGTTCCTGACATGTGGTAACTAGTTCCTGCTAAATGCTGCTTTTATAGATTTATAAGCTAGTCTCTTATTAGTTGTACCTAGTATCTGACAAATACTAACTAGCTGATACATGTTTCTTGTCTATATGTCTTAACTAGTTTCCAGTTTGTACTAACTAGTATCTGATGTGTGGTAACTAGTTTCTGATTAAGATTTATGTTTTTTTGATTATGTTTTTGGCGAGTGCTAAATAGTTTCTGATTCATATGAGTCATGCTAACTTTATTTTTTTCTGTGCATTAACCAGTTCTGAGAGCATCCTAACTAGTTTCTAACGTGTAGCAACTAGTTCCTGACACATGCTGCTGTTTTATGTGACTAACTAGCTTCTTCTTTGTACTAACCAGTTTCTGATTCATCCAAAGTAATTTCTGATGTGTAGCAACTAGTTTCTGACACATGCTGCTTTATATTTTGCATTAACTAGTTTCTGATGTGTACTAGCTGTTCTCTGACTCATAATAGCTCATTTGTAATTTGCGCTAGCTAGTTTTGAATTCGTAGTGACTAATCTGTGATTCATATTAACTAGTTTTTGACACATAGTTACTAGTTACTAGCACATGCTGCTCTTTCTGTGTAGTAAGTAGTTATGTGTACTGACTAATGTCTGATGCATAATCAGTAGTTGTAGATGAGTGTTAACTAGTTACAGATGTGTGATAACTAGTTTCTGACACAGCAACTAAGTTCTGATAAATGCTGCTTGTTAAATGTATCACTCAACTAACTAGTTTTGACTTGCAGTAGCTATTTTCTGACCAGTATAAACTAGTTTTTGATGCATACTGTTTTTCTATTGTAGGAACTTGTTTCAGATCCTAACTAGTTATTTTTGACTGTGTAGTAACTAGTTTTTTGATACATACTGCTTTTCAAAGGGCACTAACTAGCTTCTAAATTGTACTAACTAGTTTTAATACATACTAGCTCAGTTGTCAGGTACATACAGGTTAACACTAACTTGGTACTGACTAGTAGTAACTAACTTCTGATGCACACTAACTAGTTCCAGGTGTATGGTAACTAGTCTTGACTGTGTAGTAAGTAGTTTTTTGATGCATACTGCTTTTCAATGGGCACTAACTAGCTTCTGACTTGTACTAACTAGTTTTGGATGCATAGTAACTAGTTTCCTATAAATGCTGCTTTTCCAGTTCCAGACTGGTAGTAACTAGTTTTACTAACGAGTACTGACCCGTCAGTAATCCGTCTGATATTGATGAATTGACCAGTATAAACTAGTTTTGGATGCACACTGCTTTTCTATTGTAGGAACTAGTTTCAGATGGTAACTAGTTTTGGGGGAAGTTATTTTTGAAGCATAGTAACTAGTTGTTTTTATACATACAGATTCCTATGTACACTAACTAGCTTCTGACTTGTAGTAACTAACTTGTGATGCACACTAACTAGTTCCAGGTGTATGGTAACTAGTTTAGGACTTGTATTAACCAGTTTTTGATGCATAGTAACTAGTTTCCTATAAATGCTGCTTTTCCAGTTCCAGACTGGTAGTAACTAGTTTTACTAACTAGAACTAACTAGTCGGTAGTCCGTCTGATATTGACGTATTGATCAGCTCTGTGCATCTCGCTGCCTCCTTACATGTGTTGTATTTCTGATATTGATCGATGATCGATCGGTTCCTCTGCCTGCCTCTGACCAGCCTCTCTGCCTCCTGCCTGTACATATTGATCTATCGGTGGCTGATTGATGATTGATCGGCCGTCCCGTCCCTGTACATATATTTATACGTCCTGTATATCGGCTCCGCACCAAAGATTCTTCTGGCTGTGGTCAGAAGCAAACGTCTTAAATGATGCTCTGCTCACATCGTCTATATTTTTCTACAGATGTTTATCGAGCTGTCGTCTCTGAACATGTTTACGCATTTATTTATACGAACACGATGGTTTTACTCTTTATACATAAAACACACAAACAACGAATCCAACTGTGAAGATGTTTTAACGTTTCAGCTGTTCTTCTGCTTCGATTCTTTTAAACACAGATTAAATCACGACTTTATAATAAAACACAAGATTTATACGAATCAAACGGATCTGAGTTGTTTATAATCCAGTTTAACTCAACGTGAATCCAGTTTAACTCAACGTGAATCCAGTTTAACTCAACATGAATCCAGTTTAACTCAACGTGAATCCAGTTTAACTCGACATGAATCCAGTTTAACTCAACCTGAATCCAGTTTAACTCAACGTGAATCCAGTTTAACTCAACATGAATCCAGTTTAACTCAACGTGAATCCAGTTTAACTCAACATGAATCCAGTTTAACTCAACCTGAATCCAGGTTTTCTTCTGGAAGCAGCGGCTGAACAAAACAACAGTAAGTTGATCTAAATTCATTAGAATTTCATCCGATCTCATCTTTTCTTTCTTTTTGCGTGTTTCGCTGCTAAACGTGTTTTATTGCTTCATGTAGGAGGATTTTTATCACGTCCTTCAATAACAAGCGATTTAACGTTTAATATTATCAGTAAACGGATCAAATGTCACTTTTTATTCTAAGTTTTAAGCATCCAGCCGATCAGAAGCAGTTTGTTGTCATGCTTGTTTTATGTCACTGTGACCAACATTTAAAACACAGCAGCTCCACGTTTTTCTGTTTGTTCCTTTCAGAACTTATCTGATGTTGTTTCTTCATCAACAAAGTGTCCCGTCGGCTTCTTATTTCCAGTTTTAAAACATTGAACAGTAATAAAATGGACTTTTTATTCTCTGTTCTTCTGCTGCGACCAAAGTCTGAGTTTCTTTCTGCTTAAAAACATTTTGAATCATCGCAGATCGTTTGTAAAATCTGGATCTGAATAATCCAACAAGCTCCAGTTAAACTATGAAAGAACTTGTTGCACATTTATGATCTCCTGACTGTGTTTATCCATAAACACTTGGTCTGACTTCTCCCTGATTTAGCAAATACGTCATGACTATTATAATATGAACATAAAATCTAAACCCAGTTCATTATTGAACCTTTTCTCTCCTGGATGCACATCTGGTTCACTTTAACCTTCACACCAGAGCTCATCCACAAACCTACAATAATAATCATCATCATAATAATGACGCGTCTGATCCATCCGACCAATCAGAGTCCAGCTCTGACGTCAGCTGCTCAGCGCTCTGCTCCAATCAGCGTCCTCCGGGTCTCGGACTGGTCCAGAGTTCTGCTGCGGCTGCTGCAGAGCAGAAGCTGGACTTTACGTCTTCATCGTCCGTGCAGAGCGGCACCGGGACGCCGGGCCGCCTGGAGCTCCGATGGGCAGACTGAGAGCGGCGCGCTGAGGCGGGATGGAGGTTCGGAGCTGCGGAGTCCGACGCATGTGCACTCTGACTCTGCTGCTGGTGTCCGCGTGCCCGCTGTGCTGCCGGTCCAGCTGGATGTAAGTATGAGCCGAGCCGGGACCGGACCTCGGGACGCGTTCAGCTCCAGGGTTCTGAGTTCTGGATGTCATGGAACCGTTCGGAGCCGCTTTTACGCACTGAGGTTCGGCTCTGCAGGTAAAGCAGGTGTGATCAGAGTTCTGTGGAGCCGAGACACGAACTCTGCGGTTCGGACGCATCTGTTCCGAATCAGCACCAGAATGTGAGAGTTCAACAGAGCTCCGCTTCTCTGCAGGTGGCTGCGGGTCTGATCAGAACCAGAACGAATCAGAGCTTTACCATTACGCGTCGCTTTGTGTTCTCAGGTTCGGTGGTTCTGCTGTTCGTTAGACTCCGTTTCAAAAGCGTTTAATCTGATCTATGTGCTTCTGCTCAGAGGACAGAAGCAGAACAACGTTTCGGTCCAAATCCCGCGGACCGTCCGTCCACGAGATCTGCGCCAAAGTGGCCGCACGCGCGCTGCGTTAAAGCAATTCATTAAGGAAATCCAATTAAGACCAGCTGTCAGACTGCTCACAGCGTTTATCCACTGGGCCGGGATGAGTTCTGAAAGGTTCTGTTCGGTTGAAGCAGAATCTGCGCGCGTCTCCATAAAAACGGAATTCCGTTAAAAACGGTTTGTTTTAAGGTTTTATGACGTCAGACTGAACGTCACGTGTCACGTTTAATAAACTTTATTAATCATCCTGCAGACCGAGCAGCTGAGGCTCGGTTCGGCTCATAAGAACCACACAAACAGAGTTGTGTTCAGAACCTGCGGACTTTCTCTGCGCGTCAAATCAGGAATTCTGCAAATGTCATTAGAAACACTCTGGACCCGGTTTGTTAGTTGTTCTTATTTTAACGCCGAATTTTAGACCCGGTTCTGTTGACTCTAAACCCGCCTCGTGTTTTCTCTGGAACTCCTCCGCCGACGAGACTTTTGAGAAACGGACGGTTTCCCAGAGAACCCTGGTGTGTGTCCCCAGGTGGCTCGGCGTGACCTCCGCCGGAGCCGCGGAGCAGCTGGGCTGCGCCAACCTGCCGCTGAGCCCCCGGCAGCGGGACCTGTGCCGCCGGAAGCCCTTCCTGCTGCCCAGCGTCCAGGACGGAGCGCGGCTGGCGGTGGCCGAGTGTCAGAGCCAGTTCCGCCACGAGCGCTGGAACTGCTCCACGGCCGAGCAGCCGCCGGTGTTCGGCCACGAGCTGAGCAGCGGTGAGTATCCGAGTACTTCTGCTCAAAACAGTTTTTATTAAATGAAGTGTTTCAGCTTTAAAACCATTTTTTAAAAATGTTTGTTTATTCAGATGAACTTTTGTTTGTTTGTTTGTTTTTAAACGCACCATATTTAAAACTAAACAATAATTAATTAGTTTCACACAAGCTGGTTTTATGTGAAATGAATAAATCCTCCTGCAAACAGTCACGTGGTTCAGTGTTGATCGTTGTTGTTTGTTGTTGTTTATTATTGTTTACTATTTTTTCAGACAAACAGAAGCTCAGTTAGAAAAACAACTTTTTAAAAAATCTGGAGGTTTAATCATCAAACTGCGTTTTTACTGATAAACTGGAACATTTTCATCTCCAGGAGCTCCTGTAATCAAACTGAGGCTCTAAATATTTAATTATTTTTATTCAGACGAACCTTTAACGAACGTTAATTTAACAGCTTGTGTTGGTAATTAAATGATGATTTAAACTCTGCAGCAGTTGAATTCAAACCACACTCACGTCGATGTGACTTCCTGTTTCCTCCTCCACCTGGAAACACCTGGAAACACCTGGACGAGCTCCTCAGAACGTCTGGAACATGAAACATGACTTTAATATTAATTTATAAATAAAAACTGAAAGTAAATTAAACAACAAAACAATGAAAAGTTTGAGTTTGATAGAAAACATCAACATTTATGTTCTTCAGGTTCGTTCCTGTCGGATCTTAAACTGAATATTTAAATTAATAAGTTTGCATCGTGTTTATCTCATAGAGGCTTTACGGTAATTAACAGTATCGTGTCTTAATTGTAATATTTAAATCAGAGGAATGAATCTGCATAATTAATAAGTCGGTCTGATAAACGAGTGTTCGTAACGTTAACGTAAATGTTCTGTATAAATAACGACGTTTTTCTTTCTGATCGTTCTCGTAGTTTCATGTTTAGTTCAGGGTTTTATTTCCACCAGATTTCATCTAAACAGCTTCTGCAGTGAAGAACCTGAATCTGTGAACCAACTCTGCCCCCTGCTGGTGGAACACATGAACTACAGGATGAAGACTATTAGACATTCATATTAATTCTGTGCTGAGCTCCGACTGATCATCAAAAGTGAATTTATTTCACTGAATGAAACATCAGCTGAACCGAATCAGAGCTTCAGACTCCGTTAAACTAATTTAATTACAGACAAACGGATTCAACGCTCGTCACTTCTTTTGTTCATTTTGCTGCAACAGAAACATGTTTAGATGAAGATCCAGTTTTTTACTTTGAACACAGTCGGAGACAGTTGTTAGCATTTTGTTCACTGATCAATGATCAATAATCAGTAATCAGCATCAAAGAGCAGAGATTGAAGTTAAACCTCTAAAGAAGTTCAGCTTAGATCTGAAAAACTACAAATCAGATTCACTGAAGTTGCTGCTGTCTGCCTGCAGGGGGCAGCACCGCTAACATGGATTATCATGCAAGCATTGATGGCATGCTAACATAGATTAGCACTGCTGACATGGATTATCATGTTAGCATCGATAGCGTGCTAACATAGAATAGCACAGCTGACATAGATTATCATGCTAGCATCGATAGCATGCTAACATAGATTAGCACTGCTAAAATGGATTATCATGCTAACATCGATAGCATGCTAACATAGATTAGTACTGCTAACATGGATTAGCATGCTAAGATCATTTAGCATGCTAACATAAATTAGCATTGTTTACTTAGATTGGCATGTTAACATGAATCTACACTTTTTACACAAAATGTCCTGCTAGCATGTTTTAACAAGCTAACAGATTGAGATGCTAAAGCAGTTTTACACTGCTAACATGCTAGCATGTTAATGTTAGCAGGCGTCATGTTGAGCAAATACAAGACTTTAGCATGATGACATTAGCATGTTAACATGTGTGATAATATGAAACACTTTGGCTAGCTTGAACATGCTAGCTTAGCTACTGACACCTTTGAACTTTAGCATGCTAGCCTAGATATTGACACTTTTAAACTTTTACATGCTAGCATAGATACTGACACCTTTGAACTTTAGCATGCTAACTTTCACATGCTAGCATGCATTTTGAAACCTTTAAATTTCAACATGCTAGCTTTAACATTCTAGAAGGCATGTTAACAACTGAAAGACTTTAGCATACTGACCCTTACATGTTAGCATGCATTCTGAAGGCAAATGTTTAGCGTGCTAATGCTAACATGCACTTTGACCGCTGCCAGACTCTGTAATTAAATGTTTGCTGAAGTCGTCTGAATCTGTGCTGCGTCTCGTTAACAGAGAACTGAAATAACTGCAGCCGAGATTGTTTTCTCTGAAGGAGTCGCTCACATGTTTTCAATCAGGACGTCCCAACGACCGAATTAATTCAGATTTATTCTCTGAACTCGTTTTTGATCCTGATACACAAGTTCAACAAATCAGAACCATGAAGACGATCTTCAGAACGTGACGGTTCCTGAGAAACGCTTCAGTGTGACTGAAGTGGAAGCCTCAGTTCACACTTTAACTGCTTTCAGGAAAAGAAGCTGAAATGTTTTTTTTAAAAGATGAAAGCAGCAAATAGTTTTGACTGGAAGCAGCTGAAGCGTAAAGAGGACATTCTGATGAACTGTCAGAGGAGATGTTGTGAAGGAAAACGATGAAAGCAGTTGAAATGTAAGCCAAAGACGTCATTTTTACCAAGATTTGAAATGTCAGCCGACACTTCAACTGCTTTCAGTTTAAAAATAATATAAAATATATAAAAACAGCTGGAAATGATTTTAAAAAGAGCAAAATGAAAGCAGCACTGAAAGGATTTGAAGCGTCCGTTTACAGTGTCGGTGGTAAGTACTGATGCTGAAGCTCAAGAGATGAGAAGTGTTGGTTGAAGAGAAGCTTGAAAGCAGCTGAAGTGTTGCTTCTGATCTGATCTGAGTCTGTTTAGTTGAACTTAAAAGGATTTGAAGCGTAACGAGCACAGCTGATGAACTCATCAGGAGTAAGTGATGAAAACAGCGGTGTTCGCTGAAGGACTCGGTGAAAGCAGCTGAAGTGTCGATGAGTCGACCTGAAGCTGGTCTTCAGGTGAACTTTGTCTCTCTTCTCCTCTGACTGGATGCTCTTCGTCCTGCAGGAACCAAAGAGACGGCGTTCATCTACGCGGTGATGGCGGCGGGCCTCGTGCACGCCGTCACGCGCTCCTGCAGTCAGGGCAACATGACCGAGTGCGGCTGCGACGCGCGGCTTCGCGGCGGCGGCTCGGCGGCCGAAGGCTGGCACTGGGGCGGCTGCTCGGACCACATCCAGTACGGAACCTGGTTCAGCCGCAAGTTCATCGACGGCGCGGCGACGAATGCGTCGACGGTCCGCGGCGGCTTCACGCCGAACACCATCAACCAGCACAACAGCGAGGCCGGCCGGCAGGTGAGCGCCGTCCTGCGCCCGTCCTCCGACTCGGGACTCGCTTCCTCACTGACGGTTTTCTGTTTGGTCCTGCAGGCCATCGACAGGACCATGTCCACCGACTGTCGCTGTCACGGCGTCTCCGGGTCCTGCGCCGTGAAGACGTGCTGGAGGACGATGGCGGCGTTCGAGCGCGTCGGTTCGTACCTGAAGGAGCGCTACGAGCGCAGCGTCCAGGTGTCGGACCGCTCCAGGAGGAAGACGAGGAGGAAGGAGCAGCGCCGCCTCCCCGTCGACAAGCACCAGCTCATCTTCTTCAACAAGTCTCCCAACTACTGCCTGGAGGACCGGCGCCGCGGCATCGCCGGCACCAGGGGGCGCCGCTGCAACCGCACGTCCGCCGGGCCGGACGGCTGCAACCTGCTGTGCTGCGGCCGCGGATACAACACACACGTCGTGCGACACGTCCAGCGCTGCGAGTGCAAGTTCGTCTGGTGCTGCTACGTCCGCTGCAGGCGCTGCGAGAGCATGAACGACATGCACACCTGCAAGTAGCACCTGGAGACAACACACCTGGAGACAGCACACCTGGAGGCAACACACCTGGAGACAGCACACCTGTAATCCACACCTGGACCACATTCGACCTGGAGATCCAGGAGTAAAACTTAAATTCCGTCCCTGGAGGTGGACCGAGCTGCACCAAAGTTCTGTTTTCTTGTTCAGTCGTGTTCTGGATGAACTGATTCGTTCTTCGGTTTCTAAAATGTCAGAAATTATGAAAATTCTTTGTTTTGTCTCAAATCCAAAGATGTTCAGTTTCCTGAACAAACCAGGAAATTAAATTCAGAGAATGAACAGTTTTTGTTTATAAATGATTCAAAGCAGCTCATTAATCATCAGAACAGTTCATTCATTTAATCATTGAGAACTATTTGATTCATTAGTTAAAGTCGACAGACTTGAACCTTCAGCTTCTCCAGATGTGATTGGTGCAGATCTCAGGTTGGTGGACTATCAGTGGATCCATGTTCGGACCTCGTGGAACCGGCAGTGATTCTGCTTTGAGCTCTAAAACATCAGAAGAACTCGTTTTTGTACATTTTTATCCAGATGATCTGTTTCTGGACAAAAAGGGAAGAAACATGATGACATGAAACACTGAAGCATCCAGCAGCTGAGATCTTCTTCCAGGTTCCCACATCGAGTTCCGGGTCCTGAACGGATCACCAGGAACCATCTGAGACAGAACAGGAACTCAAACCAACAGCAGCAGATGGAACATTGAGGAACGTCTCAGTTTCTGCAGCTGGTTGAGTCCAAGCTGAAGATCCAGACTTCTGATCCTGGATCGTTTCTGCAGCCGACGGAACTCGATTTAAAAAATAATCCTGCATCTGTTTTTGTATTTGAGCAATAAACATTTATTTATGAGTAAATTATTCTATGTTGACGTTTTTTGGGGGGAAAATCATGTTTTTGTAAAGTTTTCTGTCAAACTGAGGAAAACGTTCACTAAACACAAATTTAACAAACATGTTTGAAAAATGTGAAAGTGAGCAGATTGAAGTCAGACGTTCTAAAAGTGCTGCTGAAGTGAAAACGGTGAAAAACGTGAGTCAGTTATTCATCAGACGTCTGGTTCTGTTTGGTTCTGTTTGGTTCTGTTCGGTTTGGTGTCACAGAGGAAAGAAAGCCGCAAATATTCACATTTAAAAAGCTCAAAACTTGATAAACAGCTGATGATCACTTTAAACTCACCAATAATCAGACGTGTGACGTCGTCTCGTCTGAATCACGTCGTTCAGTTTGTTTATTGTTTAGATCCAATCAGACTCTGGCTGATGTTTTCTGATGGTTCAGCTTCAGGCGGCTGCAGGTATCTGAGGATCCATCGATCTCCTCCACGCTCAGCGTTGGTGTCTGAGGGAGGAGCTCAGGGTCGAGTCAGCAAACCGGCCAATCAGGTGAGGCTCGTTCATGGACGTTGTTTACTGTTGTTGTTGTTGTTGTTGTTGTTGTTGTTGTTGTTGTTACAGTCAACGTGTGAATCAAACAGTTTTTCTGGGATTTTACTGGTTTTTATCTGTAATAGAACCAAACAGGAACAGAAATCTGTTTCTGGATCATTAATACTCAGACTTGTGGAGGATTCGTTTGTTTTTCTGTTTTCAGCAGTAAAACTGTAAAAGTTGTAAAAGTTGTGAAACTTTCAGCTGTTTGCAGAAACACGACTTATTGTCAGTTTTGGTCTCAGCAGCAGTTCAGCCTCCAGCTCGACCCGTCTAAAGGTTTTTTTTCAGCGGTAACTCGGTGCTGCTGAGTCAGTGTTGCTCAGAATCTGCAGAACTTTCCTGTTTGATGACGGAGCAGAAACGTCCAGGATTTCCTGCCATTCAGCGCCGGAGGCCCGGAGCTGGTCGATCACCAGAGTTCTGTGTTTGTGATCAACGAGCTCGACTTTTATTTTACTGTTTATTTATGTTAAAACCTTTAATTCATGACTTTTTAAAAAATCTTACATTTGCAGGATTTTATCGTATTTTTAGATTTTTTTCTCCATTATTTTGATTTATTTAAATATAAATATGACGTTTATAAAATGAGCAAAACTGAATTTTAAAAAAAGCAAAACTTGTAAAATTAATTTGTTAAATTAAAATAAAAAAATAAAAAAATACAACTAAAAAAGCAAAACATAAAATAAAACTAAAGCAACAGAAAAAAAAACAATAAAATAAAATAAAAATCAGATAAAGTTCTAAAACTTTTACCTGAAGACGTCGATTAAACAACTTTTATTTTGATATTTATTATTTTGACAGTTTTTGCAGGAAGAAGAAACTTTTTGTTTGTTTGTTTTTTAATTCAAACTTCAGCTGCAGAAGCTCCGAGTCAGCAGATTGTCTGACCGTGGTTCTCAGGAAACACACGAGGAAGAGGAGGAGGAGGAAGATAAAGAGGAGGAGGAGGAAGATAAAGAGGAGGAGGAGGANAAGAGGAGGAGGAGGAAGATAAAGAGGAGGAGGAGGAAGATAAAGAGGAGGAGGAGGATCAGGAGGATCAGAACCAAACAGGACGACGACCATCATGGAGCTCCATCAGCTGCTGCTGGTTCCTCTGATGTTCATCAACCAGGTCCAGACGTCTGCTGCTGCTCCTGGAGGAGGTGGAGGAGGTCAGGTAGGAGATCCCTTCATCTGATCCGTTCAGGATCTGAAGCTTTAAAGCGATTTTTAAAAATCAGAACTCGGACAATTTTCCTTCATTTCCGGGACTAAAACACTGAACCAGAACTCCTCGGTACCGTGGTCCTGTAACGGTTCCTGAGCAGCTCTCTGGTTCTGCAGACGACGGTTCTTCACCTCCTCTATGTGGCTCTTTATGGACCTTCGGTTTGGTTGCAGCTCCACTTCATGGAACAGGGAGACGTTCCTCACAGGTTCTCAAACCCCAAACCGGCATCTCAGAACTTGTTCTGTCTCTCCAGAACCCAAAACATTACATTTGTTTTAATGGGAAGAACCCAGAAATGCAGCAGAAGTGACTCAAACTTTTTTAATTCATGGCACCAAAAACAGAACCAGGTGGTTCCACAAAGAACAACCTGGACAACGGTCCCTTAGAGAACCTGTGACGTGTCCTTTATGATGCTTAAAGGAACCGTTTTCATGGTTCTTTGAGGATCCGTTGAGGTGCTGGAAGGAACCGTCTACAGGAAACTGTTCCCTAAAGTCCATCACAGGTTCTGTGAGACCGAGAACCCAAAACATGAAACATGTTCTAACAGAGAGATTCTGTTAATCTGACTTTTAAATGATGAGTTCTGTTCAGTTCAAAATAGAACCAAGAACCATTTAGAAAATGGTTCCTTAAAGAACCTGTTTCTGCTCAAGTTCTGTGAATCGGTGCTGCCTGACAGAACCGCCCTCGTTCATCCAGCAGGAGCAGGTTCTTCATAGAACCCGGCTGTTCACAGAACGATTTATTTTAAACTCTTCATGTTTTTGTTTGTGGTTCTGAAACGTTCTCTAAAGCTGAACAGAACAATTTAGTTTCATTTCAGGATGAAAACATCGTTTCATCAAACAAAACAAGAAAACAGCTCAAAAAGATTTTTGTCAAAATAAAAACATTTTAGTTTAAAAATGTAAAAATAATTTTTAAAAAAGATTTTAAAAAACAAAAAAAACAGAAAATCAGCAAAGATGTAAAAAAAACAACAAAACCTTAAAATAAATCAATAGTGGAATATTGTCAAACTAAAAAATGATGAAACAGTTTAAAACATCCGTAGAAGACGTTTTATTGGATGTTTTATTTATTTATTTATCAGGACTTTCTGTGATTTTATTGGATTTTATCTGTGATGTAAACAAACAAAACATTCATTTATGGTTCAGCTCGTTGATCTTTTTTGTTGACATTAAAAAGTAAAAGAACAAATAAATGTTTGTATAAAAACAGATTTTTATTATTTAACAGTTTTTTCTTCATCTCGTGTCTCCTTCAGTCACAGAAACGTTTCTTTAACATAAACTCGATGTTTCTTTGGGCGTCTGCAGCTGTTTGAACTTGAACTCGTTTCACCGACGGATCAGAACTGAAGCTGAAGTTTCTGCAGAAAAACCTTCAGAACAGAGTTTTGATTCCGACACGCTTCAGTTTTCCTCTGCAGGTCTCACAGCTGAACGCTCTGCAGGCTGTCAGTGTTCCCTCAGCGTTCCCTCAACGTTCCCTTAGGGTTCTGTGAGTGTTTCCTGGGCGGATCAGACGCTGCAGATAACAGCAGCTCATTACAGCGTGTTCCTGTTTACGCTGCTCAGAGACAAACAACAAGGTTCTGACTGATGTGACGGATTGAAAGCTTCGTGTTGGTCCGTCAGCAAACATCCAGAACCAGCTCGTTAGGTTAACGAGGAAACTCGTCTTCTAGCCTGAAGGATGTTTTTACTCATGAGGTCAAACATCAACTAACATTAATCCAGTTTCCATTAAAGTCATTTGGTTCTGATACAAACAGAACCAGAACCTCTGAGCAGCTGCAGGTTCTCACCGATGTTTGTTCCCGTCAGAACTTCTGCTCCAACTCGACTGTTCTGCGGATCCGGACCGCCTGTCACTCCTGCAGCATCACCATGCTGATAGGCTGCCGGTCCGGATTCAAGCCGACGCCCAGATCCACCACGTCGGACTGCAAGTGA